GGGGAGCTGTGGGTGGCCTTTAATTTTAATCATGGATTTTGGGGGGTTTATTAATTTGTGATTTTTTTATCGGAGAATTTGCAATTTTTTATCAGGGAAAACCAGGATCCCGGCTTATCAAGTCATATGATGTAGCTGTTGTGGATGCATCAGTGAAGTAATGCAGTTATTAATATTGTGGGTCAAGTTTTCAAAGGAGCCTTACCTGATCTTTGAGACAGCGATTAAACACAATATCTATTCTATATTTCAGACCTGGAGTTTGCACACTCAATTTTGCTTCACACTGATCTTTCCATGGAGTCTAGGTAGGGATGCTTTGGCTGTCTATTTTGTCAGTGAGAAAGAACATAGGCATATAAAGAAACTTAGTTGCACTAAGTTAGCTCATTATGTTATATTACATCACACTTGATCATTTTCCAAGCAATATATTATTTTAAAAGTATCTGTTCAAATAAAACCCCCCATGAATTGTTGCGCTCATCCTTTGTAAAAGACAGCTAGTGCAAAAAAATCAGCTTGGATGAAGCAGGCTAAAGCCAAATAATTTAAATTCTAAACATTTTCTATCAGACAAAGGTCAGAGATGTACCAGTGTCTCCAGACACTTAAATCCATTACCTCCTTCTCTGAAGGGACAGAACTCTGAGAGAGAGATAGCAGATGAGAGAAATTAGATGCAGGCACTTCTGACTAGCAATTGTATCAGGTAAAATCTTACCTGCAGGATGATGTCCTCCTGAGTTCACATTCTAGCAGCTGTTCAGTGGGGTATACCTGAAATAAATATTAAAGCCTGATTACTGTTGCTTGAGTAGTCTTCTTTCCTTAGAATGTCAATTATCTGAACTGCATAGGTGACACCAAATATTCTAGGGATAATGGGGAGTTTGAGTAATAATGAATCAATAGTTAGAAGTAATAATGATGACTGTTTGTTAGATTGATTCAGACTGTGGAGGTTTCGATAACTGGGATTCTACTGTATTTTCCTTTTTCAACATATACAAAATGCTATCCTACTTTGGAACAAGGAAGAAATGATGAAGAGTACACAGATCATTTGGTTTATTTCAGCATCTTTCCAAATCTCTTCCCCCCCATACTGTTGGTTAGAAGTGGTCTCCCTCCTAAATTAACCTTTTTGGAAGGCTAGATATGTTTCCAAATGGAAAACAAGCCAAGCAGGCAGGCATCTCTGTGACTACTGATCTATAACAGTTTCTATGCAGGGGAGAGGAGAGAACTCATACAAGCTCTTTTAAAAAGGCTTAGTGTTCCTGGTACATACTTCAAATTAGGTATAAGGACAATAACCCATGCCCAGATTTACTAGTGCCTTGACAAGGATGGGCAAATGGAAGCATACAAGTGCATGAGCACAGAAGAGAATGGCAAATTCGTAATAATCTGGTAGTAATGAAATAACTACAACTACTTGCAGATTCAGATTTTGGCATCCATACCTCCTGGATGCAGCCATTTGGTGAGATAATAAGATTCATAAAGTGCTGTAAGAAGGACTGAAAATCTATATAGTAGAAGCATGATAGGTGAAAACAGCAGAAGTAGAAATTTTAAAAAAGGACAGAGCTGTATCTTACATCTTGTCACATGGTCCTGTCAATCCAGATTGCTCTAACCACTAGCAACAGACCCATGGAAGCATGGGATTTGCCTCTTTTCCCTTCCCAAACCCTGTACCTGAACTTCATCCAAAAGTTTTGCATGACATCACATTGAGCAGGAAATGTTTTTTACTGTTTCCTGGTGGGCAAAAATGTAAAAAAGGCATAGCAAAAACTAGATAGGTTCTATAAGAAAAAAGGGGGTGACTAAAATGAATAGAGGCATAGACAAATTTCCATGGGAGGACAGATTGAAATGGCTTACTTTATAAGGGAGACAAATAAGAGGAAATATAACAATCTTATAACGTATGTTTTCCTAGCATGTATATTAACTTTGCCACCTCTTAGTAGTGGGCCCTGCTGGTAAGTTTGGGATGCAGTAATAGCAATAAAGAAGTCTAACAGTGCTGTGAATATATTACATTGAAATCATATTGAGGAAAGAAATCATAGATTTATAGATGCTAGGGTCGGAAGGGACCTCAACAGATCATCAAGTCTGACGCCCTGCCCTGGGCAGGAAAGAGTGCTGGGGTCAGATGACCCCAGCCAGATGCCTATCCAGGCTTCTCTTAAAGACCTCCAGGGTAGGAGAGAGCACCACCTCCATTGGAAGACCATTCCAAGTTTTGGTCACTCTTACTGTGAGGAAGTTTTTCCTGATATCTAACCTAAATCTGCTCTCTGTCAGTTTGTGGCTGTTATTCCTAGTTACCCCAAGAGACAACCGGGTGAACAGAGCATCTCGATTCCCCTAACGAATTTGTAGGTGGCCACAAGATCACTTCTCAGCCTTCTCTTGCAGAGGCTGAAGAGGTCCAGGTCCCTCAGTCTCTCCTCATAGAGCTTGTGTTGTAAGCCCTAACCATATGAGTGGCCCTCCTCTGGACCCTCTCGAGTCTATCAACATCCTTCTTGAAGTACGGCACCCGAAACTGTACTCCAACTGCAGTCTGACCAATGCCGCATAGAAGGGAAGTATCATCTCCTTGGTTATATTTGTCATGCATCTGCTGATGCATGATAAAGTGCTGTAAGCTTTGCTGACGATTTCGTCACACTGACAACTCATGTTCATCTTGGAGTCCACTATGACTCTGAGATCCCTTTCCACTTCTGTGCTGCTGAGAGGGTCACTTCCCAGCCAGTAGGAAGGAGTATAAGAATGCTAATATAGGAGGGGGCTTTCAGCTAGTTAGCATCTAAAGGTAGCTGTGTATTCTTTCTCCAAAAAAATGTTATTTCTTTTCTTTATATAGTTATTGTTCTTCACCAAGAAAAAAATGAAAACTGAAATCATTACATCCCTTTCCTGTAAAAAAATCCTTCTCCAGTACAAAATATTCATATCCTAAATAACATACCTATTTAAACAAAAACAGTTTTCTGTTCCCATAGCTACTTTCTTTAGCTATATATATCATACTGGTTTTATTGGGAAATGCAAAGCTTACTTTTCTTCAATCTTCCTTGGGGTTTAATTCTCCCCTCTTCAGTTTATTTCCCTTCCACAATTGCTTCACAAATCACCCGTCAGATCTGATCCAGTACTCAGTAAGTCAAGAGCCTCCTACTGATTTCTGTGAGTATTGCATCAAGTTCCTTGCATGGAGCATAAGTAACAATGATGATAATGATTGAAAAATATGAAACATGGGACAGGGGTGTGTGTGTGTGTAAAATGATCCATTACCCATTCACCTTGAGCTCAACTGCATCCTTCCTATTTGTTTTCATTTGTATATGATCTATCTAAGCTACATATTCCCAAGGACAGAAATAGCATGTGAAATTCTGGCCCCAGTTAAGTCAATAGCAAAGCTTCCCTTCATTTCAGTATGCCAGAGAATCATCTGATATATTCACTGTGGATGCTGGATAAGTAATAAAAGACCCTAATAGTTAACAATATTTACATTTTCATTAATCTTCTTTCAATGCAAAACCAATATTGGTACAGTGATGGCGCTATATATAGTCACTCTATATTTCCCCTCATTCTTACTGTAGGTGGTCCTTCATACTAGTGTCTACTATATCAATCAAATGCTAAACAGCATATATGGTCTGGTGATAGGAAATTTTGCAACTACTGAACTTGTTAGAAATTAATGTGAGACAAAGCATACATCATAGTTTGAATCTATACATTAATTTCCACAAAGATTATGTGCATTTAGCTTCAGGATTTTGGTTAGGATCTAAAACAGGAAAAACTTACAAAGTAACAGTGGTAAGATTAATTTTTAGAAATGCCAAAGTTATTTTTATTGTGCACTGTTCAAAATATAATTATTTACATGATATTTTAATTTATTTTTTTAAATATTGAAATGCCATCAAAATGGTTAGCAACATTTTTCTTTACCATTCTTCTTTTCTAAATTTCTCCTATTTTATTTACTGAAAATTTAGTTTTTAGCAGAGGAAGAACATTCTGAACCTATTTCAGTAAAATTGCTAGTGTCGACTGATGCTGTAGCCATGATGGTCCAGAAATTATGTGAGGCAGGGATTCTCTAGGGTGATATCTATTATTGGACCGACTGTATAGTTGTTATAGAGTTAGGCAAACTTTTGAATGCAAGACATTTATCTTCAGGTCTGGTCAGAACGAGGCAAGCATGACAATTTAGATAATGTAGTATATTTGTTGTGAAAATTTTAAATTGTGTAAAGGCCACAGTCAACTGTTAAATTAGCTTAAAACAATTCAAGCAGTCATATTAAAAGACTTTTTGATGGACTATACTAAAGTATTCTAAATATAGAAAACTTACAACTGTTTATTTAAAAAAAGTAAAACCTCATATACTCAAGCCAACAGAAATAATAACAAGGTATGTGTTTCACTAGGATAGTAGGTCTTTACTACTTCAGCTATTCTAGGCTTACTGCTTGCTACAGGCCTTGCAAGTATGTCAGTAGAGCTGGTAAAGACATAAGATTAATGGATTAACGTATTTTATTAATTTAATCTGAAACGTGTACTGCTGTATGTATACAAATGTAGAACACAGGAAGGGCAGTAATCAATTGGTACCATTAATTACTAATATCTACAGCAGCAGATAGTAGATAATAATGGCAGTTTTCCCTATGGGTTTGCTAAAGACCTGGGATTTCACTAGAACTGACAATTGTGACTAGAATATGCTGGAGTGGAAAAGGGTGAGGTGAATGTGAGGTTTTGAAGGAAATCTTGTCCTCCAGGCATCTGAACTAGCCAATCAGGTAACTGAAATGAAGGATAAGTAGCCACTATTTTCTAAAATACTGAGACATGAGGAGGTTTTTTTCCCTATTTATATACAGTTTATATAATTTATAACAACTTTCTATAATTTATTGTTGTTGTGCTTTCACAGATTAACACTATGCTCCCTTTCCTTTAAAAGAGGTCATTGTCATACACTGACTTGGTATTTGCAAGAAAGGAAGTACTGTATAGTAAAAGTGCCTGGAGAAAGTACTTTTCCAGTTTTTAAAAACAACTCTCAGATACCCGAATCAGGCTGCTGTTACCAACAACAACCATTTTTCTGTGTGCATAGGCCTCTAAATTAAATTTCTCTAAAACCAGCACTATTTGTACTGCACCTGAAACCACAGGCATTTGCAGAATTCCTATTATATTTTATTAATATTAAATTAAAAGGTTCTACATGGAGCCCATCAGAGATTTGATAGCAGAGATTTAAAAGGTGAAACCATGGCTCTACCAAATTTAGATTTTAATGCCAAAGGCTATAGGCTAAGTACAGACAGTCAAAAAGCCCGAGGCTGAATTGATTCAGTCTTTGCAGGTTAGTCTAGGATGCAGAGATGAAACTGAGAAACAAGTGGACACGCATCAACTTTTGATCCAGGAAATGCAGCTACATACCTGCAGTGGCTCAGGTCAGAAGCCAAAGGCACGTAGCCAGCACAGGCGGTGTGTTTGCTTCCTCTTCCTGCTGCCCCCCAAGATCTCTGAGATTTGCACTCCACAATCACAACAGCAGGACTCTGAAGGGTTGCTCATCATTTGCTCTTCCTGCTTCCAGGTGCTTTTGGGATTTGTAGTCCACAGTCACAGCCAGCAGAAAATTTTGGGCAGGGCAGGGCAGGGCAGGGCAGGGCAAGGCAGCTCTGTACTCTTGGTAAGGGAAGTTTAAACCCCTCCCTGGCTCTAAGCCCAGTTTAAACCCCTCCCTGGCTTCTCCAACCCTTCTCTGCTGGAGCAAAGAGCACAGCCCAGCTCAGGACAGGAAAACATGCTGGGATGCTGGAGGACTGTTATTTAACTTGAACCAGGAAGGGGTCTGGGACAGAAGTTTCATAAACTGGTTTGACCCAAATTCAGTTAAGTCTGATACTACATTCAACTAGGTTTATTTTAAGCAAGTTTCAGCCATTTTGATCTGGTTTATGTGCACTTAACGTCTGTTCTGTTACAGGTTTAAACTAGTTTCTGATTACTTAAACGTGTTTATATATAATGTCTGTCCCTAACTATACTGACTCTGTACATGTTTATAGTCACAGAATATTTTGTCATCACTTGCCCGTAAACTCTTCGGAACTAAGGCAGACAGTAGATATCAGTGTAAGCGAGCAACAATTAGAGAGTAAACCACAGATACATTTTCTTCTGAGTTGGAAGGAAATTGAGTCAATGTTAAGTCTTGCTAGGTTTTAAGGAAATTAGTAGAAGTATTACTATTACCATCATCATCATCACTGACATCATCACCACTCCCCTGTACTTATATGGATGGGTGTATTTTTAAAAAATATATTTTTCCAGCACCTATTATTTTATGAAGAACAATGAATGATGGAAATGAACATGAACAAAGGAAAACTGTCTAGAGCACCAGGCAAGAAATAATTTATGTATATGCTTGCCTTAACATACTGTAAGGGCTAGCCTTTGTGCTAGAGAGAGATCTTTTGCCAGCCCTGTGTAAATCTGCCCCAAACTAGTCAGTTTTCAGAAAAGCTGCAGTTTGCACATGCTCAGTAAATATATGCTAGAGTTTCATGGATACATTCCCATAACAATTAAATCTTAAGGTAGAAACAGATTTGCCAGATGTTGCATTTGTGCCACCATAAAAATGTTTATGGTGGCACAAACAATGAGCAAACAGATGTCCCTACCCTTTGTTGTGCCATATCAATAACATGCAAATGGTAGCATTCAATGGTCCCACTTTATTGAGACAGACATCTATTTGCTCTGTGGCAGGAAAGTGTGGCAGCTTGGATAGGTGGTCTAAGAGCTTGAGGGGCTTGATCCTGTGTACCCCAGGAATTTTCATGCAGGATTAACCCATTCAAACCCTAGGAGCACCTGCTCAGCTTTTCCCACTTACAGAGGTGTGCCCCAGGGAATCTCAGAGTAAGTAGGGAAAGTCAAGAGTTCCCTGCTTATGGAGACCTACCCTGAAATCTCTAGGGGCATGTCTCTGTAATTGGGAAAAGCCTGTGAGAGCCCCATTATGAAGGCGTGCAACATGGAGCACCCCCAGCACCCCATGCCTTCATGTTGGGACTTGCACTGACCTGTGCCTCCATGTGAAGAATAAGTTGGCATATGTCCTAGGGTGAAGGAACAGGGCACTGGGGATCCCCAAGTCCCAGGCCTCTTGCTGGGACCCATGTTGACCTATGCCCTCCTACCACCTTTGTGCTGCCCTATGCCTTTGCATGAGTCAGCAGCTGTTGAGGCTGAGTCCTCTTAGCTGCGGGACTCCTAGCCCTGGCTAAGCCTCATGCACCCCTCAGGCTGGGAGTCCAGTCAGTGACAGGGCTTCTATCTGCAGGGGAGACCCTGCTACATGTGTAAATTTAACCTGGATACCAACCAGCTATAAAGTTAGTACACATTTTTGAGGTCTAACTTTATAGCTGCTTGGACTTTTGTATGGAATGATAAGAACTTTGCACATGTAGCTGGGTTTAGTTAATCACACAGTTAACCAGCTAATTGAACAATACCTGTAACGTGTAGAGGGGGGAGGGTCAAAACTCAAGAAAATCTACACACCAGTAAGTTTGATATTTCCAAGTAGCTACATCTGAGTCATTTGAGGAAAAAGTTCTGATCATAACATATATATATAGGAAGGTGTTCTTTTTTTGTAGGTGCAAAAGTGACTGAACCAATTTTGGTTGACCTCAGGCATGAAAAATGTCCATCCTAAAGGTGGAGGAAAGTATCAAAAAGCATGAGCAAATAAAAAGTGTGCAGAATAGAAATCATACTCATTCCTAAGCAAAGCAAGCACTACCATGCTGTGAGGATTTGTACAATATATCGAAGGTTCATAAAATCATGCCCTACATTATAGAACCAGTCCACATGGTCCTGAGTATGAATCTGTTCTTGCTCCACTACTATTCAATAACTTTATCAGTCACCTAGAGAAAAATACATCATTGGCCTCGGTAGTTTGCAGATGATTCAAAGACTGGGAAAGTGGTAAATAATAAGGACATGTCAGAATTGCTTGACAAATTGATATTTGAAATCTATTCAAATACCAGGGCATATTCTAGGAAAAAAAGAATGTAGGTCATACTTAAAGGTTGGGGGACTTGATTCTGAAAAGAACTAGTTACTTTTTTTTAATACCCAGATGACAATGATCTACTAGGAGGATGTGTGGCTAAGAGTTAATGGGATCTTTGGATTTATAAATAGGGGAATGTCAAGGCAGGAATAAGGAAGTGACATTACATCTGTATAAAGTACAGGTCATTAATGTGTTCAGTTCTACTTTTTGTACATTTAAAATGATGAACAGACTATACTAAAAAGGCACAAGAACAATTCAAAGCCTGAAAAATGTATTGAAAAGTATTGGATTGTACTGTATTTTGTATTATATTGACTGCATAGCATTGCATAGTATTGTATTGTAAAGCTGTCTAAACTTAATCCAAACTAAGCAGGTGGTCCAATAAAAGATATAAACCAGAAAAATTATTGCCTCTTATAATTTTAGGTCATCTGTTCTATAAAAAAAAACTGTTAGAAAACATCAATTCAGTAAGGAACATGGCATAGGAGGGTATGTGCCCATGAGCATGCACATGCATTTCCTCAGTGATAAATACACAAACTTGTCCCTGGGCAATGCCCCTGCATGTGCACTCTGGCACACAGCAAATTTGCCCCAGGTGGGGTAGGAGAGGCTGGGGCCAGCACCTAGGCTGGCCCAATAGCCTTCCCTGGGGTTCTGGGGGCCTCCCTGGGTTCTGGTGGTGGCAATCCAGGTGCACAGAGCCTGGCCAGGAGCATGGCTCTGGTTTTGGGTGGCACATGCTGCAATCTTGCTTTTTCTTCGAGCATTTTTTTTAGATACCAAAATTTCCCGGTATCTAATTCTAGCTCCATGCTGCAAATATGCAGTGCAGAGAACCTTTTGATGTGCACCACATGCATTTTGTGGTGCCTCAAAAGTCTTTGAGATACTGCAAAGCACACATTCCCACTTGTCTGGATGCACCTGGAGAGGTGAGAGTGGCTGGGGAAAATGTCATTCCTCAGAGCAAGTTAGGGAGATACTAGAGGGATGTGATGAGTGCAACTATAGTTAGAAGGCAATGACAGAATTGATCTCTGCTAAGTAAATTAAAAACTGTATTCCATACCTCATCTGTGCCTATGTTCTATGTTTATGAAGGATTACCAATCAATCCAAAATTTTGCTTGAATTTCTTCCTCTATAATTTGACTGGGTGCTCCTGTACATGAGATGGAAACATTTAAATGTTTGGTACCCTCAGTACCAAAGTTAACTTTGGTACTCTGCATTGTGCCTCTCAAGTGCCACCCTCCATTTAAATCCCAGCCACATTTACAAAATGGGGATTATGAGGTGCATGGCACTGATGTAATCCAACTGAATAGAGTAAACTGACCCTCAGTGAATATAGAAAGTGCAAGTACAGCATTCAAGAAAAGCTGGTGTAAATGGGCTGAGTTCCACTGAGCAGCATTAAAATGACCCACATGTCAGAAAGACAAATCATATGCGGAGTAGATATGAAAAATATGTTTTTGTAACGTTGAGTACTGAGAAGGGATCTGGGATCTCATCAAAGCAGCTCTCTATCCAAAGTTATTTTCAAGCTCAGTCATACAGTCTAGGAAGTCAAGCTTGCCCATGCTGAGTCAGATATTGCTTTGCTTTCCTACTTTTTCCTAGGAACAGATTTTAGCCCTGAATCTGAAGAGTCTGAAAGCTAGTTTGTAAAAGCTTTACTTATTTCATTATAACATTAAAGTGTTTGTGCCCTATGTAAAGTGCTGCCCAAGAAACCCCATGGTAAAGCCTTCCTTTACCTTGGAAGCCTGCCTTGGCTCAAAAATGGAAAAAAGAGGCAAAAAATGTGCGCATGCCTACCCTGTGCAAGTAATTATTTCTGTAGCAGAAGTGACAAATGTAGTCATGACACACTTTTGTATTTCCTGCCATTAAAAATAACCCTATTAAGTAACTTCCAGTGGTGTCTCAGTACTATTCTACCCAGAAGATAAGTTTAGGCAGTAACAAAATAAAATCCTCAAAAGCAATCAACACTTCAGGCTATAATCAAGCCCCTTACTTTCTCCCTGTTCTCCTTAGGAAACTATGATATGTGCAAAAATGATATGAGGTCATTCAACATCAATATAGAAAGCTGGGAGGATTGCACGGAATCCCATCCAATCGGAAGAGACCATGTGGCACTGGGTGCAGCTCACCATGAAGCTTTAATCCAGAGGATAAAAGCAAAGCAAGGAAGAAGGAAGCAGTGTGCTGTAAACTTGGACTCAACTCTGACAAGACATGGATCTGTAAAACTTGTAACAAGCTGTGTCACTCTCGAATTGTGCTTGTCGGCCACAAATAGATTCATCAGGCACCTGACTAGA